TAAAGCCCTAAACCTTGCAGGCCCTCAAGCCTGAAGAACTTCCCTATACCTCATCCTCAACGGTGATGCTTCGGGTTCGGCTCTTTCATAAGCCCTTTCCCCCCAAAATGGGTGTAGGGTTAGGGCTGAAATCTCAGAACCCGAAGACCTAACAGTCGTCGGGGAAGTCTTTGAGGGCAGGTTCGACTGCAAGCCCTACACACCCCCAGAAGCCTTCGGCCCCGGGGGTCCAGGGTTCAGGGTGGGAGAGGGGGGGGGAGATCGGTGTTGTGGGATTTAGCAGACATAGCACTTCTTAGTCAAGGTGACCCAGACGAGGTGGACGACTATCAGGGTTTGCAGGAGGAGGCCGCTCGGCATACGATGCATACTCTTGAAGAGCTTGGGTGTAATTAGGGCTTATGAATACCCTAAACCCTTAAATCTTCAACCTCAAACCTCAACCCTAAACCCTAAACCCTAAACCTGAACACCAGCCAGCAACTTCCTGATTGATGGGTGTGCAGTTGGCACGTTCGGCTTTGCAAGGCGCTGGGCCCCACAGCTTTCCAAGATCAACGTCTACCAATACCTGCGCACTGGGATTGCATATAAACAGCGGGGAACAATGCGTATGCATGCATGCATGCATGCATGCATACACACATAAGCACGCGCACGTGCACTGACATAAGTGCGCGGACGCGCATGTGTCTATGCAGGTGCAGACACGTGTGCACATGCGAACACGTGCATGCATGCATGTACTAACCCTAAGCCCTAAACCCTCAACCCTAGTAGGTATGTTGGGGTTGGCGGCTGTGGCTCGGGCGTGTGATGGCTTAGGACTTCGGGCCCCTTTGCCCAGGCTAAGCCCTCAAAAGCCCACAGCTTGGGATGTTCCCCCCTTATACTAGCAGTCCTTACTACAAACCCTAAACCCTAAACCAAACAGGTGTTGCACGACTTCCAGCGTTGGGGCACTGTGGACCTGGAAAATGTCGGGGCCGTTACTGCGCCGAAAGCTGGCATCGTCGTACTGCGATGGAGCAATGAGCTCCCTGGCTGTAGGGATTGGGGTTTAGGGTTTAGGGTTTAGGTCTTAGGGTTCAGGGTTTAGGGTTTAGGGTTTCGGGGAAGTGCACAGCGTTTAGGATCTGCGGCTGCAGGGCATTTGCACACCGCGAAGAACCCCAGAGCATTAAACACATTTGGGGGTCACCGAAACAGGGGGGCACCTTTTGGGGTCCTTATGATAAGGGAATCACTATTTGGGGGTCCCTTTTTTCGGGTCCCCTATTTTCGTATACCCCCATTTCATTGTGCAGCAGTCTGACTCAGAACCTCTCAAAAAACCCGAAATGCCTGCCGCATCCTGCCCCCATACTCTCAGCTCTCTACAGTTTGCGATAGATATGCCCGACGTCTTATAGTTCGGACTCATGTAGGATGCCAAAAAAGGTCACTTGAGGGTTTAGGGGCTCCGGACGTAAACAGTTTGGGTTCAAAATGGGTGTATGAGTGTGGGCGGATGCTCTAGCAAGTGGCAAAGTCCAAAGCCAAGAACAGACTCAAACTGAAGCCCAGCGACCTTCTAAGCCCTGAAACATCAGGTGAGGTCGGGGTTCGGTTTAAAGTCATGGCCGAACCTGCTCCGAAACCCAGGTGCTAAGCCCACTTATCCGTCGCAAAATCCACGAGATCTTTGAGCGTCTCCCGGGAAGGTTCAACCTCATCCGTGCAAAGCGCGTGCAGTTCGAAGTCTCCTGCGACGACGGGCAGGCGGCCTGTTTTGGGGTGGACGATGTTTAAGGTTTAGGATTGTGGGCCTAGGGGACAGTGCAGGAGCCTCAAGAGGACGACAGAGAGAGTGAGAGTGAGGAGCTGGATTTCAATTAGATTTCAGGGTTTGGGCTCAATATAGGGGTCGAATAATTTCTCATAATTTTCCCTCATGATTCCTTGATAAATATACTACCATAACCCCCCAAAACCCATGCTAGTGATTAAGGACCCCATGTATTAGGCTTGTTGAAGAATCCGGATGGGTTTAGGGTTTAGGGTTTAGGGTTTATGGGTCTTTGCCAGGCTCCGGCAGAGACGGTGAGCTCCGGCGGCTATGCATCCTGATGATTTACAGGCCAGGGCTTGTATTTGCCTATAGACCCCAGTTGTTCCTGCATTTACACACATCATAATAATAATAGTATAATAATAATTATTATTATATGTATATATATATATATATGTATATCTTATACAGTTACCATCGTTGACCTTACGGTATTGTACATTATCATATATTGTTATGTGTATTATTACTTATCAGTGTGTATTATTTTATATTAGGGTCTACTTCAGGTTTTGCACCCCAAACAAGACTGCAGTCGGTGAGCCAGGTCACTCCGCAATATGGACAGAACGCAAACCCAAGTCCCAAACACGAGGCTTGGCTCATGACGTGGGACGTTCCCCCCTTATACGAACAGTCCTTAGTAAGGATGATAATAGGGTGTACTATAATCCCTATGATGGACTGTTAGTATACGGGCGAATATACTAAGTCATGACCCTCATGCCGAACTTCTCATGGACTGTGGCGTGTGGGGCCCCCTTGGGCCTGGGGGTATCGTGAGATTCCACCCTAAACCCTAAAGCCTAAACCCTAAACCCTAAACCCTAAACCCTAAACCCAAAGATGCTTGGGCATGCCAACCCTGCCGCCTCTTAAGAATTCGTGACGGGGTTTCGGGTTTATTGTTTGGGGTTTAGGGTTTAGGGTTTATACAGTCTGTACAGCAAAAAGGAATGCGTAAATCCACTGTCAGCCCCAAAGACTGTGCGCGCACATGCTCAATGTGCTGCTTATAGCCGTGCTGAACCTGCACCCCTCGCACAAAGCATGACAATTAGCATGGAGTGTTGCGCAGCGGCGTAGCGTCGGCTTCAGGAAGTGGGTGCCAGAGCGCATCGGCTGTCCTCAGTGTTGGGGCTGCCCACCTTGCTGACATCCATACAACGCATGTAGTAATGGCAAGAAGAGGAGTCGGGGAGTTTGGGTGCCCTTCCAAACTGCACTTAAGCCAACAAGGACACCCTAAACCCTAAACCCCAAACCCTAAACCCTTTTTTATTCCTAGGGCCTAGACAAAAGCATGTAGTCGTCGTGATCTCCCAGCTTCCAAGGCTGCACGCGCCGTTTTACGAGTGAGCAGAGGTGTTCGCGCCCGGCTTATGGGTTTAGGGTTTAGGGTTTAGGGTTTAGAGTTTAGGGTTGGGTTCTCGAATTCGCAGTTAGTTCGGTGTTGCTCTTGAAACAAAGTTCTAAATCAGGCCCCCTGGTATGGGCTGTTCATAGGGGGGGTTCGATGAGCACTCTCTCATAAGAGGACCCTGATGTTGAAACGCCATCACCACCCTAGCGCATGCCCCGGGACTTCCCCCACATGCCCAGCACCGTGGCCAGTGCGTGGCAACAGAAGCATTCCAAGAAACCCTGAACCCTTGATCTGCTGAAGCCCTCAAGCCCCTCTACAGGGTCTAGGGCTGGGAATTTAGGGTAAACCCTAGACCCTAAACCCTGCAGCCGACTTTCGGGAGATGCAAGAGTGGATGGCTGCCTTTACACGACATCAGCTACGAGATGCCTACCTACCTGGACTACTTAGGGTTTAGGGCTAGGGTTTAGGGTTTAGGGCTAGTTGGAGGTTCATGGGTAGTTCTAAGTGGGGTTATGAGTACGGTAGGTGTACTTTAAACTGGTCACAACCTTGTTTAGGGTACTTATAGCCCTACTTCTAACTACTCATGAACCTTCAAGTGCTAGTACTGCTACTACAACAGAAGCTGCTACTAGTATTCCTAGTTATATATATATATATGAACGTGGAGAATTCTTAACACCACCATTACGGTTTCAACTGCAACGATTTACTACCACTACTAGTACAAATGCAGCTCTAGCTGCCACTGCACTATTGCGACGGCGACGACGACGACGACTACAACTGCTGCCACTGCTGCTGTTCTTCTATTGCTACGCCTATGACGACAATAACCAAATTAGTAGTCGATGAGCTACTCGTCAAACAGCAAGTTCACGACTACTTCATAACGATGAGTGATGAATCGTTGTCAGAACCCTGCGTCCTGAGCCCATAAGACGTCGGAGCCTTGAGGGGTTTCCCTAAACTCTAAACCCTAAACCCTAAACCCTTTAGAGGCACGGCTGAGCAAGAAGCGTGACGCCACTGGAGCTGCGCCAAAAAAAAGGGATGCGCACGGGGAGTTGTTGACATGCTTGCGCGGGATATAGGCTTCGGGTGGCACTACAGTCCCTAAACCCGAAACCCCAAGCCCTAAACCCTAACTACGGGGGTACTTCTAACCTTCCTTGTCCTTTAAGGGGTTTTCGGCCTGAATTTCAAGTTGCTTGGGTCTCTGACGCCTGGCTACCTCCCCAGCTCAGCCGTGCCCCTTTGAGAACTACCTGTTGGCTCAGATTCGGGGCTTAGGGTTTAGGGTTTAGGGTTTAGGGTTTAGGGTTTAGGGTTTAGGGTTTAGGGTTTAGGGTTTAGGGTTTAGGGTTTAGGGTACTTCCTCCTCTCCCGATCCTCATGGAAGACGCAGAGGGGCCCTGCTCCATCGAGCCCCTCATGTTCCCCCTTATACAAACAGTCCTTAGGAGGGATTACCATACTTGGAGGGTCGGGGGACTTAGTAAGTGGATACGAAGAAGACTGATAAGAACCCTAAAAGGGACCCTAATTGGAGTTCCCCCACTCATAACTCTTTTAGAGCACTACTTACTAAGTCCTCCGACCCTCCCTATTACCCTAAAGCCTAAACCCTAAACCCTAAACCCTAAGTGAGTATAAGGGGGAACATCCAGTGACATAGGCTCGGAGACTAGCATGAAGGTTCGAAAGGCCGAACCCGGCCGAACCCTAAAGTTAGCAGCCCCTGAGATGTGCTAAACCCTAAACCCTAGACCCTAAACCCTAACCCCAAACCCTAAACCGCGTATGGCACTCAGCTGGGATGTTCGAAAATCAGGGTACCTTGCTTAGGGTTTCCTATATATGCAAGATGACCGTATGTTGGGTATATCAGGGGTGCCCTCCATGTTGGGACATACCCAGTTGCTACCTTGCAGATTTCGATTTAGACGATTATAAGGCACCAGAAAACCACAGTGCCATCGAAACCTGAGTCAGGAGGTGGACTTCTATTGTACTCCCCTCAATAAAAAATCATCCGATCACCATCAGACTCGATGACGATGATAGATGGGGTAGCCGAAACATCCGTACACCTATGGACCTGCAGGGTAGCGGGGGCTACGAAATTCCTAATCCCTAAAGCCTGAACCCTAAACTTTCCAAGAAGGAAGGGCCCCGTGTGAATGTGTGTGTGTGTGTGTGTAAATCTTCGGCACTTTTGTCGAAGGCTTTCGAGTGCAGGGCCGTTTCGGGTTAAGGGTTTACGGTTGCTGAACCTCAAACCCCTAGACCCTAAACCCTGGACCCTAGACCCTAAACCCTAAACCCCAAACCCCAAACCCCAAACCGCCTCGACATTTTGTTTTCGCGGGCTGGGAGGGGTCTGCCAGATCGGGCACCAAGGCCGACGCATGCGACGTCGCCTTTCCGGCAGCCCTTCACGCCGATGCCGCTTAGGCGGTTTAGGGTTTAGGGTTTAGGGTTTAGGGTTTAGGGTTTAGGGTTTAGGGTTTCCAGTCTTTGACAATCTCGGGCCTTTAGCGGTCTCTTGGGGTTTGAACAAGCAGGCCAGGGTTCAAAAAGACTTGGTAGCCCAGAGGTACCCTGTCCCACTTTTTTGGTTCAGGGTTCCATTATACAAAGTAGCCAAGCCCACAAAAGGGTAAATTACCCTCATGTATAATATCTTTACCGGGCTACCAAGAAAAGGGTGTTTGACCCTAAACCCTAAGCCCTAAGCCCTAAGCCCTAAACCCTAAACCCTAAACCCTAAACCCTAAACCCTAAACCCTAAACCCTAAACCCTAAACCCTAAACCCTAAACCCTAAACCCTATCAGACCCCGAGTCGCACCGAGCGCTTCATGTTAGTGAGGGGAGGGCCGAGGGAGTTGACATGAAGGCAGGAGCCTTGATTTCCTTTCAGGGGCGCGAGACGGCGAGTTGCTTTAAGTTAAGAACCCCCAAGCAACAAATGTTAACGAATAGACCCCCCCTTATAGGGAAGAGTCTTCTTGATTTTTTTGGGGGGGCTTCTTCAGCAAACGGTAGGAAAGCGAAAGCTCCTGAACCTCAAACTCTCGACCCTGGGGGGGCCCCTCCTCAGTGCCACTGCCCCTTTCCCCCGAAGCCCCTCCTTTGAGCCTCGCGCAAAGAAGAATCAGCCAACCTTATACCCTGAAAACCCTAAGCCCCTGAACCCGAAATCCCAAACCCTAAACGCCAAACCCTGAACCCGAAGCCCTAAACCTTAAACCCTAAACCCTAAACCCTAAACCCTAAACCCTAAACCCTAAACCCTAAACCCTAAACCCTAAACCCTAAACCCTAAACCCTAAACCCTACCGAGCGCCAGAGCCCCGACGCCCTGAACCGGCAGGACGCCAGGACCTGCGGCGACATCGAGTCGGAGGCTGGAGAGTTGTGTGTTATTGGGTTTAGGGTTTAGGGTTTAGGGTTTAGGGTTTAGGGTTTAGGGTTTAGGGTTTAGGGTTTAGGGTTTAGGGCTACTAGGACCCAGAGTGGGGCCTGATTTCCTTTTTGGGTCTTTAGTGCTTAGAAGTTAGGGTTTAGGGTTACTAGGACCCAGAGTGGGGTATCCGTTATTTTGGGGTTTAGGGTTTAGGGCTACTAGGACCTAGAGTGGGCCCCTATTCCCTGTTCTTAGGGTTTAGGGGTTAGGGCTGCTAGGACCCAGAGTGGTTCCTTGTTCCTTTTTTTTAACCCTTAACCCTTAACCCTAAACCCTAAACCCTAAACCCTAAACTAGGGTTTTGAGGTTGAGTATTGCCGATGTGCATGAAAGCCAGCTCCAGAGGAGCGTTGCCCACGAATCTTGAAGACTTGAGGCATGGCCGCCGGCAAAGCTGGTTGGCCTTGAAGCTAGGGTTTAGGGTTTAGGGTTTAGGGT